ACACACACACAAACACACACACACATGCATATACGCACCCATACACACATACATACGCAAACCTACACACATACATACGCACAGAATCATATACACACAGCACATTAAAAATACACGTTTGTTACACATTTTTGTATAAGGTATAGAGAGGGTGTCAAGACTGATAATTTTATATTTTTTGAATTTTGAGTCATGAATGTAAAGCAAATGCATAAGTACGTTAGGCCTGTGGGGGCGCAATAATTATTTAGTACATGTATATCAAACCTTTGTGAAAACGGCATGCGTTTGCATATGAATTTACTTCGTTCACAATGTGTACAGCAGTAAAAGAGTTTATTGAAGGAAAATTTTAAGACGCAAAATTCTAAGACATTCAGAGGTCTCTTTAACTCATGCATAGAAGTAGTGCTGCTGCCTCTGCTAGAGTCCGTCTGGATTACGGTGCTGGCAAATCTCTTAAAGAGGCATTTGTGAACTTGTGCTGTTGGATGAGGTTACATGTATATCACCCACTTTGTAGAATCCTCTCCTGAAAGGACGTTAAATCGAAATTCCCGTCTCATGTGTTAAAAAAAGCAATTAAAATAATATTGAACGCCCTGCAATACTGCGTATTATTCTATGCCAAATGGAGGCTTGGCTAGAGGGACTTTTTGGATTCCTTTCGGGATGAAAATATTGACTGAAAACAAGAGACACCTAATTGGATCTACTTTAAATAAACGCAAATTAAATGAGGCACAAAGTGTTTTATTGGTCAAACGTGCACACGTATGCCACACGAAATCTAGAACGCCAAACAAGATACTCGTGAATGCCCAGAACTAGTGACATGGCATAGAATCTAGCTTACCGGTAACCATAACTGCGCTCTGAACATTTAAAGGTTTTATTGAAGCACGATCTCTGAAATGAAAGTATGGGCGATAACATAGAGAACACCGAAACTTAAGCGGCTGAAGATCGACGCGGACAGGCGCCAGTAGGTGTCTGCTTGACTCCACATAGAGGGCGCCTAAAGCCTAGATCTAGATATAAGAAAAAAATCAAACCACAACACAGCTGGTATTTATTTGGGGATTTAAAAAACCTCGAAATTCCTAAAATATTGCTTAAAATGTAATTCTGCTTGATTGCCACCCTAATTTGACGACGCTAAGTCAAAAATGTAATTAGTTTTTGTCTACCGTGAAGCACCAGCTCTGAAATGGCCATTTAAAATTGCCCCCTGTCCAGTCGGGTGACGTCACGCAAACTGTTCAACCCGAGTGAGCGACGGCGAGACGGCATTGAGAATTCGCAACCTCAGTGCTTTCTTGTCGCATCTCCATTTTTTAATAGCAGTGAAAGCAGTTCACAACAAAGAGTGAGGTTAAGATGAAGTCACATTTTCACTGTTAAAAAAATGGCGATGCGATAAGAAAGCATTGAGGTCACGAGTTGACAGCGAGACGTCCTTTCCAGCTTTTCGGGGTAATAAGAATGTTTAGATTCCGATAAAGTCGACAACGCCTATCCGAGCTTAAAGGCGCCTGCAGTCTGCCAGCTCTATGTGGAGCAAGTTGGAAATCATAAGGGAATTTTAATGCCTATCGGCGCTTACTGAGTCTGTCTCCGAAATCGGCGTTCTCTATGTTTTCGCACATACGCTTCTCTCCGATAGGACCGAGTCCATTGAGTGTGTACATTGTAACACGGAACTATACACTACAAACTCAAAACAAAGAATATATATAATAGATTGAGGATTGAACCTGAATCACCCGAGCTATTGCCCAGCATGATACCTGCAAAGCCAATAGCACTTCCCTGCCAATGCTACCTTGTACTATCACCTCCTAAAAGATCTTATTTGTATCGATGAAGGTGTTAAACTGTCGATGAAAGCGTTAAACTTAAACGCTCACAATAAATTACACCAGGAAAACATCAGCATCAAGACTCTGGACATTTCTATGAACGGCATCGGCCGTGAAGGGGCGGAGTCTATAGGCCACGCTCTCCGGCACAACAGGACACTGCGCACGCTCAAGATGAGGGCGTGTCGGATCAACGTGGACGGCCTTCTGCTGTTCTTCACCAGGATGGTGGGCAATGAGACGCTCAAGGCCCTGGACGTGAGTTTTCCTTGAACAAAGTTATTGAAATCTTCTTCTTCTTCTTCTTCTTCTTCTTCTTCTTCTTCTTCTTCTTCTTCTTTTTTTTTCTTCATCTCCTTCTTCTTCTTCTTCTTCTTCTTCTTCTTCTTCTTCTTTTTTTTTTTTCTTCATCTCCTTCTTCTTCTTCTTCTTCTTCTTCTTCTTCTTCTTCTTCTTCTTCTTCTTCTTCTTCTTCTTCTTCTTCTTCTTCTTCTTCTTCTTCTTCTTCTT